CGCCCACTAGTGGGCGGTAGGGACCAGGTTGACTATCACTGGTCTAATGCATTGTTTGTTATAAGCATAGAAAAACAACGTACCACAGTGCTGTTTAAGCAGAAGCAGTTTGTTAACAGAATAACAAAGTTGGAAGGAACCTTGGAGGTCTTCTAGTCCAACCTTTGCTCAAGCAGATAACCCTATAACATTCCAGACAAGCGATTGTCCAATGTTTTTTAAAAAAAACCTCTAGTGTTGGAGCACTCACAACTGCTGGAGGAAAGCTGTTCCATCAATTAATTGTTCTGTCAGGAAATTTATCCTTAGCTCTAGGTTGGTTCTCTCTTTGATTAGTTTTCCTCCATTGCTTCTTGTCTTGCCCTCTGGTGTTTTGGAGAATAGGTTGAACCCCATCTTCTTTGGGCCAGCCCTTTAGATATTGGAACACTGCTATCATGTCATCCCAAGTCCTTCTTTTCATTAAACTAGACTTGTTGCTCAGCTATGGATTAGCTTTGGTATTATGTGGATTTTGCCACAGTCTATTGAGCTTCTGCTCACCAATGTGCCATGCATGGATGGGATGGAGGATTTACTTTGTTCATGGGAGATGACAGTGCAACAGACACAAGAGAACTGTGAATGTACTTTATCTTTCCTCCATATTATGTAAACACTGACATAATAATATTTTTCTTCTTCTTAAGAAGAAACATTCAAGAGTTTGAAGTTTCAGAAAAGGGAAACTTTAGTTTAGTGGTCAAAATGCACCAAATGTTAAGATGTATCTTAACTTTGGGGGTTTTGTTTATTGTTTTCAAAAATAATTGCATTAGAAAGTGTGGAGAACTGAGATTTATAGAATTGATTTCTGTTCTGCTTAATTTTTATGTGTGTATTTTATTCATGATACGTGTACTGCTTAAGTTACATTTCTGTATGTAGTGTGTGAAGTTTACTTGTTGAGCCAAGCCGATGTGTTATCATGATTTAAACACTTATTAGAATGTATGCCTTTAGACAATCAGCAGAGTCAAGGATGTGTGATGCGGCCCTCTTATTTTTTCCTCTTTCTACAGTATAGATTTAACTTGACAGAATAACAATTATAGACTTGGTATCTCTATATATCAATGCTGTTACATGTCAAATAATGTGCTTGTATGTTTTCACATTTTGAATTATAACCATGTCTTGTTTTTTTATTTTTATTTTGTATACTTACCGGTTTAAAGTAATTATCTCAATGCATTGGGGTCTTGTTTGATTGACATAGAAGACCCCTATAAACTGGGAACTCTTTACTCAGTCGGGTACAAGAGATTCAATGTTACTTGTCAGCTGGAGTATCCAATAAAATATTGTTGGATTGTCTAATTTGTTGGTGTTCTTTAGAAAAGCTTTTTTTGTTGTTTTGGGTTGTTTTTCTTTCACAAATAGGCTCAAAAGAGACATAGAGACCCATGGTGTACTCCTGAAGAAAACTCTTCTTCTGAAGCAGATACTTTTGGAAGTTCCCTTATTAGTGCCAAATGTGAATGAGAGAGAAACGTTACCCCTTTAAGGCAGCTGAGGTGCAGANATATTATGGAAAGAAGGAAAACACATCACCAAGAAAGGTAACTCAAGGCTCAAATGATAATCATCTCATACATTTCAGCATGTAGATCACATTAAGGGCTTGGCTTATGATAATCAGCTATATTATATCTGGCCAGCTCTGAAGAAGCAAAGAAATACTCTTCCTTTGTGAAAATTAGTGAAACAAAGCTGATCTATTGATGAAAGTTGGTCTAACTGATGCCTGGTTGGAAGTAGCTGCTAATTTGCACTGGGGTTTGATTATACTAGCTTTAGCAAGACCATAATCTCTCCAATAGATACATTTGTAGAATGTATTACTACTGTTACATGGGTAATGATGGGGAGCATTGCTATCTATTGTGAATGGTAAGATAATGGTGCATTAGGGAATAATCATAAAGTCTATTAAAGCCTTGAAATTGCAGTATTCCAAGTACACACAAGGGAAAATAAAGAAGTTTTATGCTAGATGCTTTGTGAAACCATAATGAGCAGGCACTGAATTACATGTGCAGAGCTCCAGAGCAACTTACACAAAATTTTGTGGGCTCAGATTATTATTTTTTAATTCACATTTGAAAAAGCCATGCGGATGGTGTGAAATATACCAGGTCGCAATCATATTTATTGCTATTGACATTTTCTAAATACTTGTTTTGGAACAGAATAGGGATGGCCTTTGTCTTCTTTAAAACAGGCACAGGATGAGCTCTGTATTTCACCTGGTCTGGAGAATCCCAGTGCCAAAGTGGAGCTAACTGCAGCCATGCCTAAAGCTGGATTTGGAAAATGGGTTCTTTAAGTAGCCTCTAAAACCTAAATTAGAGAGTAGGGTGATTCAAACAAGAAGCTTCTGAAGCCTGTGGATTCTTGATCCACAGCCGTTCACCAAGCCAGCTCACATCCTCAGTCAGTGAGATTCCTCATTCAACATCCAGAGGTCTTCAGAGTAAATTTTAAAAAGTCTAGTGCAGCGGTAGTCAACCTTTTTATACCTACCGCCCAGTGGTAGGTTTCAAAAATTGTTCGAACCTACTCTGTGGGTGNTATATATATATATATATATATATATATATATATAATCTGTTTTGTTTTATACTTGCATTTTTAAGAAAAGCTTGGTTAGGTGACACATGATGAATGTTTTTCTTCCTTTTGAAAGAAATTACTGAACCACACTGAACACTTTAGACAAAGAGTTAATGATTAAAAATGGAACCTTGCTCTAAACATTTGCATGTGGCATTCTTCACTTTTTCTGTTAAAAACTCTATGCACTTTCATTAGTTAAGATACCTGATTTGTGTGTGATCTTAAATTATATTATAGATGTAATATAACCCACTTGAATAAAATGTAGGTTGTAGATTAGAATATCAATGCGCTTTCAGAAGTGTGTGGATTCTGTAAGATTTGTTCAAAATATATATTTAATCTAACATTTCATGTCACCCAAATGTTTTAGGAAGTTCAGAAGCAGAAGTTGTGAACAACATCAGTTTACTGTTCTTTGTTGGTCTCCAGTTAGCATCCAGGAAAAAAAAATCAATTCCAAATTTAGAAGGTGCATAGATACTATCAAGGACTATTATCTAGTGAAAAATTTATTTTCCGTAATCTGTTCTATTTTTTAAATGCCATTGAAAGGTCAAACTACATGTTACATTAGTGACACACTGCAAAACTCTTTATTTTTCAGGGGAGAGACAAACTAGACCTGGGAAAAAGTAGGATTTTTTTTCTCCCACTATAATGCTTCTGAAAAAATAACCATGTAAGACCCATGTCTGTGCTGCCAATCATAGCCCTTTTATTATAATGACAGCAACATGTGGAGAGCAATTCCTTATAAGAAGCAGAATAACTAGGCAGGACAAACTATGCCTTCGTGGATGTTATTTTTCTGATCTGGTTTCAAGTTTACCTTTTTTAAAACAGCTCAGTTATAGTCTGTTGTTCAGTTCCGTGGGATCTCAGTTTCCACCAGTACAAGGAGCTAAATTATGCTATTTATAACCAGCAGTGAACTTAAGTAGCTAAGCTGCAAATAGTTTATTCTAAAAAATCATTGACACCTGCCCAGTGCAAATTAGGAATGGGGAAAAAAAAGTGTGCATGTCAGCAGAAAAGCAAGATTAGGGAAGACAATTCCTTCGTGAATCACAGTAGTCCACAACCCAAAGGAGAACCATCATCCAAGTCTGCAACTGATTTCAAGGGGGAAAGTTTGCCCTCTAGATCCCCAGATGAACTTTTCCAAGAGAGGGGCATAAGAGTCAAGAGAAGGAGCTCCAGCACCTACCAGCATACCAATAGCACCAAGACCCAAGCAAGACTTACATGGTAACTTACATGGTGGTGGGGATAAGCCATTTCGATTTAAAGTGCCCCCCATTAATACAAAGTTCATCTCCTCAGCAGAACATTGAAAGACTTCCACATATCTGTCCTTCATGGTTTTTTTATGGCACTTCTGAGCTGCCAAGAAGGCTCGATCTGAAGACTTCATTTGGATAAAGGCATCTCCTGAGGGTCGGCCCTAAGGACAAAAGAAAGAAGAAGTGGAGCATCACAGCAAAATCACTTGCTCAGCAAGTTTATAAGCATAACCTTACCTTAAAAAAATAGTCAGCTTAACTTGGAAGACTGATTTTTTTTTTCATGTTTTATTTATTTTATTTATATTACTTTCCATTTCCACCAAACAGTGTGGGATCTGGGTTTTGGACAATCAAAATCCACATATTTGTCATAATATTCATCACAACATGATTAATAATATAACTACCCTGTTTTCCTGAAAATAAGACCTCCCTGGATAATAAGGCCAATCGGGCTTTTGAGTGCATGCGCTAAAATAAGCCCTCCCCTGAAAATAAGTCCTCCCTGAAAATATTGCAACACAGCAGCAGCCATGAGGTGATTATGTGTGCTGCCTTCTACACCCCAAAAATGATAAGACCGCCCTGAAAATAAGGCCATTTCGGGGGTCAAAAGAAAATAAGATCCGTCTTAATTTTGGGGAAACACGGTGTATGTCAATACAATTACAATAGCATGTAACATCTTTATCATCAAATTCTCTGCACATTCATTTTCTCTTTTTTGTATCTCCTTTTTTCTAACTTCTGTTTCTAATATTTTAGAGAGCAGAAAAAAGAATAAGAAATAGTGAGTAAAAGATGAAAGAAAATCAAATCTACCTAAATATAGGTTTTATATACCATGCATAATTTTCCATATTTTTAAAGTATGCTGACAATCTTTGCCTCCACTATATCCATATATTATTTGAAACCTTGTCTTTTGTCTTTTTAAACTTTTCACATCTCTGTTTGTGAGGTTGCCATCAATTTCACACCATGAACAGTCTTTTCCTTCCTTTCAGTGCATTCTTTCATATTTTGTTTTCATACATTTGTTCCACAATTCAATCCTCATTCATTCTCTGTTGACCAAATCACTTCAATATATTTCTTTCTTGCATACTGACCATTCTGTCAACATTCACTTGGCATCCGCTCAGACCTGACTGACCATCCATCCACCCCTTGTTTTACCAAACACACTTAAGCATTAATTTCTATTATATTAGACTTACTTTTATGTTTCTTAACCTATAATTATTTTATTGGATTTATCATCTAATTCTTGTTGTACTAAAGTAAGCAAATAGACAATGTCTTTCTAGAATATATTTGCAGCAAGAGATAATCAGAACAATTTTGCTTTGTTCACCTTGTGCACCAATTACGGCCCTACTTGGATCGGGAGGCACTCCAAACTGTCACTCATGCCCTAGTCACCTCAAGGCTGGATTACTGCAACGCGCTCTACATGGGGCTACCCTTGAAAAGCGTTCGGAGACTGCAACTAGTCCAGAATGCAGCCGCGCGAGCGATATTGGGTGTACCTAGGCACACCCATGTTACACCTATCCTCCGCAAGCTGCACTGGCTACCCATTGGTCTCCGGACGCAATTCAAGATGTTGGTTATTACCTTTAAAGCCCTACATGGCTTAGGACCAGCATACCTGCGAGACCGTCTACTGCCATATTCCTCCCAGCGGCCGGTAAGATCCCACAGGGTTGGCCTCCTTCAGATACCGTCAGCCAGACAATGTCGGCTGGCAGCTCCCCGGAGGAGAGCCTTCTCTGTGGCTGCCCCGACCCTTTGGAACGAACTACCCCCAGAAATCCGGACCTCACCCACTCTCATGGCCTTCAGAAAAGCTGTCAAGACCTGGCTTTTCCGGCAGGCCTGGGGCTGTTGACCTCATTGTTGAGGTCCAGCCCCGATTGAAATGAATGTATCTGTGTCATTTTAACTTGTCTTATTTTATTTTTACTTTCTTTTATTTTCTTTCTCTTCCCTTCTGTAAGCTGCCCGGAGTCCTTCGGGATTGGGCGGCCTATAAATAAAATTAAACTTACAACTTACAAACTTTGCCAAATAGGGGCTGGAAAATATCTTTTGACAATTGTTAGGTAGCTGAAATAACTCTTTTTTACATTTGAGAGGCACCCATCAAGCCCACAATTTTATCTCATAACTGCATTGACAAATTCTAAATTTCCTCCCTATGACAATTAGGGGTTTTGATAGAAAAGCCTAGTTCACTGTCCCACATCTGGGCAGAGGTACCATCAATGGCACATTATCTTCATTCAGTGCCACTGAAGTCATGAACTTTTTTGTCCTCCTGGGACTACATACGTCTCTCCTAAGTTGAAGTTACGAGGAATCTTTAATTGCTAGGCAAGGCTCCATACAAGAGGAAGAAGTCTATTTCTCTATTTCGTATTTATTTTTCTCCAATGCTGGCTTTTGATTACCTTGTAACATTATGGTTATGACTATGATGTTTGATTTTTGTGTCCTGGTGTGGTAGTATGCATAGCCTAAAACAGATGTGGGAAATTCCTTATCTTTAAGGGATGCATATGAAGTTAGGAGAGGTCTAAATAATGTATGGCCTCCCAGATGTTGTTATACTTCTCCCACCACTTCTTGTATTGGTAATGTTGGCTGGGTTTCTGGTAATTGTAGTACAGAAACATCCGAGTGCCACCCATGTTCTAGAAAGTTTAAATATACCATGCTTCTATCTTTCCTGCAACGATCTTAATTACAGATTTCTTGGCGCTTTCTGAGCTCGGTTATTGTTTTCAGATGTTTCATTACCCAGCTAGGTAACATAATCAGTACTGATGGTGCTACCTAGCCTCATTATTGCTGCTGGACCTTTTAGGAAATCAATCTTTTCTTTTAGGCCAAACAACTATAAAGCCTTCACTCCATGCAAAAGTCATTCTTGCTTCCTTACTTGATTTCTGAGCCTTTGAAAAATTCTGGCCTTACCATTGGGCAAAATGAAGACTCAAAGTCCCATTCATTGTTTCAGGGACAACCACGTCATTGCGAGTACATTCTTGTTAACATTCTTCACTAACCTGGTGATTTAACACCATGTGAACCCCATGAGTTCTGATATCTCCAGAAAACTCTCCCAGGAATCCCAAAATGTCCTCTATAGTGGCAGCATATGGAAGACCACGCAGACGAACACAGTCCCTGACAGTGGTGGGAGGCACAAACTGCTGAGGTAGCACAGGAAGAATAGGAGGAGTTGGGAGAGGAATGAGAGGAGCAGAGGAATACCTGTTCAGGACCTGCAAGCAAAAAATAATAAACAAGTTTAGAAACAGGAAACATACCAAATGAATAGAGTAAGCTCTAAAGTCAGCTTAATGCATTTGAAAACAAAGACTCCCCACCAAGAGCGAGAGAGAAAATCTTAGCCATCCCATGTACACAATCTGGCTTTTCTTGTTTTGAAACCTAGCCCTTAGCACTATGGACTTCACCACTTCAAAAAATATTAAATCTACATAGCCCTTCATGACTAAAAGACCACACATGCCTAATCTACACCAACAGGCAACAAGTCTCTAAAATTTGAGGTTACATCTCTCATTAGATATGGAATTGCCTCAACTCAAGCTGCTTCCCAATTAACTGGCTAAACTTTTTTTTTTTTAAAGGTAAATTTTACATTGCTTAATAAGGTTTCATCCACACTCTTCTTGCCCTAAAATTGAGATGGTCTGCTAATCAATTGTGAAGGACATTATCCCCACAACGAATGGAAGTCTCTATCTCAGTGCCTGCCGCCAATGAAGGTGGGATGAAAGCTATCTAGTTGGAAAATGATTTCTCCAATTAGAAAACACAATACAACTTTCTGTGCGAACATTCTGCTGTATCAGGATTGATTCACGGCAGTACTATTCCTCCCACCTAGCTAGGGGGGCCTGCCTTGCACCATTGCAGGCTTATAATTCGTTCCTTTAATTTTGGAGGCCATAACCTAAAAAAAATTTTCCCCCTAATTCAGATTATCTTTATCCAAAATGCCCAGTCAAATGCCTTTTAGAAGTATAGTAGTCACCAAATGATATCAAAGACAGACTGTATCTGGTATCAGAGATAATATACAGCCTGCATACAGCCTATATACAAATGGTACTTAAAATGAAGGACTATGACTCAGCAACTAGAGCCAGCCAATCACACAACCTGAAATCAAACCAGGACTCAGCAAGGTATTTAAAGACCAGTGCTCCCTCAGACAAGCACAATCCAAAGCATACTGAAGATGTCTCCTCAAATGGGGACGAAACATTTGCAACCAAATTGCCAAGCTCAGAGCTCAAACCAATAAGGTAAGTGTTAAAAAAATGTAACTACCAACTCAAGCTACTAATAGTCAAAGACATTTCAAATAATATATAGTCTGTATTAATTCTCCATGAACCTGTTTAGTTTTCCATTAAAGACATTCAAATTGGTGATTGCTTTATCTTGCATTTGTGAATTCCATAGTTATCTTGAATTAGCATCTCACACCATAATATTAGTGAGTACTGGTTCTCACCTGCTGTACCTCAGCAGCTGTACTCCTGAAAAGTTCTATATACCTTTTCCCCAACAAGTCCTTATGCTTTTTGAGTGCGTTTTGTGCATATTCCTCACAAGCAAACAACACAAATGCATCTCCCGTTGGCCTATTGTCAGGGTAAGTCACAAAAAGGATTCCTTCTTTTCCACCTGTCACAGGACAGTGTTGACCAAAAAACGCTAACACTTCTTCTGATGTTACATTGAATGGGAGACCCCGCATCCGAACAATCACTTGGTTTTCTTTAGATAGGAACTGGGCTACTTCATTGGATGTACCTTGAAGAACAACAAGAAAAAACATTTAGAAGGCTAAGTACCCATCCATCACCCAGAATGATATAAAGAAAGAAAATAGATCTAATGTGGATTTTTTTTTAGTAGCATGGGAATGACATACATACACATATGTATGCACAGTGGTGTCATCTAGATTGACAAAGTCTCTCCTCGTTGGCTATTTTTAAATATATTCTTTATATCCTTAACAGTTTTCGTTTTATAGAGGGAAATATATCTGCATATGTGTATTTCCACATTTACTATTAGTTGTGCCTAAGACAATCTTCCTCAATCTGATGTTCCCCAGATACACAGGCACTAAGGTTCAGGAATTCCAAGGTAAACTAGGAAGGTTGTACTGGTTTCTTTGCTTGCAGAAAATCACAGTGAACTACACTATTGTACAGAAACTCTATTCCAATGGCTCCTGGACTAGAAACTAAAAATTAAACGACTATAGGGTTTACACACACCCTAGAAGAGCAGGTTCTGTATCCTCTAACCATGTGGTAAGCCCTACTGTTACCACCCAGTACACAGTGTAACTCTTGTCCAGATACAATATGGAACATATTTTGTAAACCAGTAGTTTGTAGCACTATATGTTGCATGATCCCAGCAGTTGATTTATTCAATAAATCATGGGCAAGAAATCACGACTTACTGTATCTGAATCAGGCTGGTTCTCTTAAACATTGAGAAGGCTTCAAGAAAGGGCATTCACATTACTATCATAGCTTAGGAACACCATCTGTATGGTTTAATTAAACATTGGAATTGGCAATATCTGTGGATAATTGGACCACCATTGTTTCTTGCTCTACACCTCTAATCTTGTTTCATATGCAATGTGTATGTGTCAGTGGTGGGTTTCAACATTTTTTAGAACCTCTTCTGTACGTGTGGCCTGCTCTGTAGGTGTGGCCTGCCATGTGCCTGGGTGGGAATGGCATGGCGGCTATGTGATCGGGTGGGAGTGGCTTGCCAGCCATGTTACTGGGTGGGCTTGGCCAACTTGTAAAATGTGGTGAAACTCACTTAACAATGCTCTTGCTTAGCAACCAAAATGTTGGCTCAGAAACTCTGGCATTTGAAGGACACAAGTCTTAAATATGTCAAGTTACAAGACCCTTGCACGCCTAACCCTTTAGAAAAAAAACCATGGGTGTTCAAACTTGACAGCTTTAAGACTTGTGGACTTCAACTCCCAGAATTCCTCTTCCAGTCACGTTGGCTCAGGAACTCTGGCATTGAAGTGTGCAAGTCTTAAAGCTGTCAAGATACAAGACCCTTGCACCCCTAACCCTTTAGAAAAAAAAAACCCAGGGGTGCTCAAACTTGACAGCTTTAAGACTTGTGGACTTCAATGCCAGAGTTCCTGAGCCAACGTGACTGGAAGAGGATTTCTGGGATTTCCCAGAAATCCTCCTCTCAGTCTTCATCTTGATGATGTGTGGACGGGTGGGGAGGGAGCTGGAACCGATTCTAAATGGCACTGTAGATTTGTGGAACCTCTTCTATAGAAGAGGTTAGAACTGGCAGGAACCCACCTCTGGTATTTGTGTGTCTGTATGCGCACCTTCAAGTCAGCATTGACTCTTGGTGATGGCTGGACAAGTCTTTGCAGTTTTCTTGACAATATTTCAGAAATGGTTTGCCATTGCCATCTTCCTTGGACTGAGAGCAAGTGCCTGGCACAAAATGACCTAGCTGCTTTTTTGCCTAAGACAGGATTAGAACTCAGTGTCTCCCAGTTTCTAGCTTGGTGCTTTTAACCATGGCATTATGGTTAAAATGGCTTTCAACCTGTATTATGCTAGATAATATATTAAGATCTTCCCATTTTTAAAGTTGTACTGCTAAATTAATAAAAATTAACATTTTTATTGGTGTTTTTGATTAATGGCCAATGCAAACTATTTTCCTTCTTCAATCTACAAAGAAATTGTATTTATCCAATTCTTGCCCTAAAATTTCCTGAAGACCTTAATGGTCAACACAGTTATGTAGCCCGAGATCTAAAGTTCCTGGCTAATTCAATCAATTTCTTTAACTTAATCGAAAGGAAGGTTTTTCTGTTTAGGACTAGCTTTCCCCAACTGGGATATTCTGAACATGGCTACTGCCAGTTGACGGGGAGAGAATGCAATCACAGAAAGCTGATTTAAAATGTTAATTTAGGTTATAGGAATGGAAAGTTTACCTCCAGCAATTTTGAGGAAGTCCTCACCTGTTGCTTTGTATACCTGGAGATAAGCAAAGAAAAAGATAATTAAACCCAGACAAACTTTCCACTATTTCACCCAAATATACCATTCAGAACTTGACCAACGCACCTCTATATACCGGTTCCCCATGTGATGCTTGTGTCTTTGCAATGCTAATTCTCTGTGTTCTTCACTTACAAACCTGACAAGAGCTTCTCCGTTTCTTCTGCCCTGGGCATTGAGACAAAGTGCAGCGCCTCCTCTGAAGAGAGAGGAAGAAAAGGTTACAAAAAGAAAGAAACTTAAGATGTTCCTTTTCATAAAAGCTATATTTACGTGGAAACTGGAAAGCGGGGGAAAAGTGATTCTGGTTATTTTGGGATGTATTCAGGTCTTTCTTTTAAAAAAATAACAATTCAATTAATTCTACAATGTGAATTTTAGCCCACTTCCAAAGTTTGTTCGGTGTTGTGTGTATTAAAAAGGTTTTAAAAATAACTATGAGCAACACATTATTTGGTTAAAGGATTTGTGGACCATCCAATGACCATGGACTTCTGGTATTTAGTGGAATCACCTGGACCTACAATCCCAGTGTCATCAGTGTGATAATCTCAAAGGTGCTTTTTCAAAAGGCAACTGGACTGTTTTTCGAAGGAGGAGGGGAGGGGGAGAGGGAGGAAGAGGAAGAAATGTAGCTTCTCATGCAAGAAGCTTCATCAATTGTGACAGGATGGATGGGGGGGGATAGAAGGATAGGTACTGAAAGGATGGTGAAGTGGGGAATAATGAAACGAATCTAAATATAACAGATAAATCATTTTGATGGGACTAACTTGGCAATATTTAGTCCTTTGAAGAACCTGGCAATGTCCTGGTCTGATGATTGCCAAGGTAAGCCTCTGGCTCGGATCACAGTGTTATCATCTACAAGTTCCATCTTGCTGCTATAGATCAAATATAAGGATAGCTTTATTAATATCTTTAATATTCTCATCATCACAAACCACAACCAGAACATTAAAGCTTTCCCATAGTTGTGAATTCTGATCAGAACCTTTTTCAGATAATTAAATGGAAACTTTAAAATTCACCACTATTTTTTTTGAAATTAGCGATTTGTACTCTAGTATGATGTAATTTGCTTCTGTTTTTCTTCGATAGGAGTAATTTTTATTAAAAGTTTTAAGAGCAAACATAAGAACTAATAAAAACTAAATTAGAACAGAGCAAATAATAGAAGAGAAATAACAAACAAGCTAAAAATGCAATAAGTAAAGAAAATATAAAAAGATATTAAAAAGTAGCTTCCAATATTCTTCACAGTTATAAGTATGGTACAATTACATTTTAATCTCTCTTTATAAAGTTACATGATGACTTTCTTCATAATTCACTTCTGTTGTTCTGGCTAATTTTAATCTTCACCTGTACAGATAAATATAGTCATTTGCAATGTAGTGATTAAATTATTGAGGCTGTACCCTTAAGATGTCCCTATTGTGTCCTGAGACCACAAAGAAAATCCTGCCCAGCCCTGGATGCTTCAGCAGCCAATTTGTCAAGGGCTGAGTTTGTAATGCCCACTACCACTACTCTTGTTGGATAATTTATAACTACTATGCCCTCCAAATTTTCTATGCCAGAAAGCAACCATTTGTTTCTATGAACAGTTCTTATTGTGTATGTATATGTATATATATATGTGTGTATGTGTGTGTATGTGTGTGTGTATTATATATACATGCATGTATGTGTATATTTGTGTCTATACACACACATACACACAATATATGTATATTTGTAAGTATGTATGTATGTTATGTATGCACTGTTAAGTTTACACAAACATCAAAAGCATCAAAATAATCTGCTCAGGGTCATCTTATCATTGAGATGGATAGCACATTAATTTAATAAGAAAATGCACACACACATATATGCGCACACACATATACGCACATGCGCACACACCAATCAAATTTAAAATTAAAAACATTCTTGCAGCTTCCATTATTTTCCAGGAATTGGTTACATAATGGGTGCTTCAGCTAATGTTGGATCTCCCAAAGGCGTTGTGGTTAAAATACAAGTTTGATGGGTAAAACACCACCAGTTCAACACACTGTAGATTTTTAAAAATGCAACTTTTGTATTAAAAAGACAAATGATTTTTCTTTTTTAACCAACCCATTTTACTGTTCTTTTTAGCAAGTCCATTGATTCACTTCCTCAACATTTCCCTTGTTGTAAGGGGGAAAAATTGCATCCCAGTTGCCTGTGCAGTACTAATTTAATTGAGCTATATGCAGCTGGAAAAGGAAGGAAGGTTGATCCACTATGTCATATTCAATGGTGATCCAGTAGACATGATAGAAATAAAGTGGACAGTTCATGGAAAGGAAAATAGCACTGTAATTTTTTTAAAAATATCATCTGTTCTGTGGAGTGAGGATGTTTTATATATATCAGGCAAATGCTTTTTAATCCAGTGTTTCCCAACCTCAGCAATTTGGAAGATATATGGACTTCAACACCCAAAATTTTGGGAATTGAAATTCATACATCTTCAGGTGACTGAGAATGAGAAACGCTGCTCTGAGTACTAAATTACTGGAACACGATTGATAAAACTGGCTGAAGCTGATATTAGAGAGCTGCAAGGCAGTGGCCATTGACGCAGGCAAGGGGCAGTTTTCCCATTGATGCAATAACCAATCAAAGTGTAGGCGTTTGCCCAGAAGAAAATAAAGTACAGGAGAGAAAACTGGACAGTGAAGCTTGACATCAAATAGTACTTTCAATGTAGAGCAGGAAAACATGGACAGAAGTTGCATTTATGGTGGGGTGGAGGAGTTGAGAACTTCATTGATCTTTAGTACCAGAAATAATTAGTGGCCTGTACTAATGACAGAGAACCCTGGCAGTGTAGATATGCCCTAAGAGAAGGAAACTGAGATTTAATTTCCTATTTGTCTATGTAGCAGACATTGTCTTTCAGTATATGTTGTATTTTTCTATATTTGTAGGTGGGGAAAAAAGTATTCACATTTCCAGTCATGAGAAAAACCAACACTTGGCATTATTTGAAATGGAAATTCTGCAGAATGCAAGAGACATTGTGGCTGAAAAGCAACTGCTCATTGGATGTGGTTGCCAGAAATACTCTCTGGATAAAGGAGAGTTCTTCAGAAAACCCATATGTACTATGGACAGATGTTTAAGGTGAGCAGATGGCAGAAACTGATGGGGTTTTTTTTCAATCTCTTGCGATCAGCTTGGACTCGCAAGATTCCATCATGCTCTGAGTAACGTAGACCTTTTGGAGGGGGGGACTCCACATTCAACAAGCCCCCTTTTTAAAATCACTTTGGGGTGTATTTTTTATTCTTATTGTTGGTTGAAGATTGAAAAGCCTCAGGACATATGTTATAGGTTTCATTGGCTTTCTCTTCAGTCTGTATAGAAAGAAAGAAAATGTATATGCCTGCAGTTTTATAAGAGTTTTCTTTTTTGCAATATACAGCAAAAGGGTAATTACGGTGTTGATTTTAAAAAGTTTTTTTTCAAAGGAGTAAGGGTTCAAATGAATATGCATTGAAGAAAGGCTTTGAACTTAATTAAAAGGATCCTCTCTCTTACATTACATTTTTATATAGGTAATAGTTCCACATAACTTCCTAGGATTCTTCCCTAAGAGGCAACATTAATTTTTTATTCAATTTGTTCTATTTGTTTTTGGTCTGGGCTCCAGGAAGATAGACAAATCTCAGGAAGGCCTATTCATATGTTTAATAAATTGTCTTTAAAAAGCTTTTCATATTTTATTTGAAGGTACATACTTACCAGGTTCCACTTTCAAATTTATAGTTCACCCTTTCTGGCTCTGAAAACCTGTGGTCTATAAAACACAGAACAAAATCAATTTTATTTCCAACAATATGTTTGAATAGCAAAATGAAATATTATCCACCTGTGATAGATAGACAGGCAAAGATAGATAGATAGATAGATAGATAGATAGATAGATAGATAGATAGATAGATAGATAGATAGATAGATATAGAGAGATAGACAGAGATAGACAGAGACAGATGATACATATGATCTCATTGCAATGCTTGCTACTCTAGGCCCTTTTCTTTTACCCCAGCATTTATAGCATGCATAGAATCAGAACTGTAGATGTGGAAAGGAATGCAAAGTTCATCTACTTCCACTTTCTCAGATGTGTAGGAAAACCAGTTGAACTGTTCCTGAGAGTTGGCTATCAGATTTTAAAACCTCCAGAGTTAGAGAACCTACACTTCCTGTAGGTAGATTTATGGCAATGTCACCTGCCTGCCTCCTTCAAAAGTGTACTTTCCATGGGACAAAGTATTAGCTGAGTGGTACAACACAAGCTTGCATGCAGGAAGAGTCAGGTTCCTTTCTAGACACACCCAAGGAAGGTTGGTTATGCCCTTCTATATATCACTGAACATTCCTTGTAGTCCATATTTGACAATTACCACCAGATGGGTCAATAGTCTGACAAGGAAGACCTCTCTGCCTGAATCTCTCTTTATTTTAGTCCATCAATAATATCCCACTTTTGATCATTTCCTGCAATAATGTCCAGTATGGATGGAGAGAGGGGGGAAGGAGGGAGGGAGGAGAAGAGGAGAGGAGAGAAGAGAAGGGACAGAGGGGGAAGAGAAGAAATTTTTTTAGCCATATTTAAAGCTGGATGGAAAACGTGTAGCCAATTGTGCTCTGTCCACATCCTCTTTGTTAACTAATTTTTTTTTACTTGTTAGAACTTTTAGGGTCTAAAGAAAAATAGGTACTCAAAACCCTTTTTATTCTTTTGATTATGTGTCATCAAATCAGTATTGACTTTTAAAGATCACAAAGATTTAAATGATTTTATACCTTAACATGTCCTAAAAACGCAGTAAGCTCTTCATTTTTGGAGAGCAGCCATTGACATGCTGTGAAAAGTCTGATGCATGCCTGGCCAAGAAAACTGTGCCTTCTAACACTAAAACAAAATTCTAATTTCTGCTTCAAACCTCCAAAAAAACTCCACTCAACAGTTCCTAAAAAAAGGCAGTAACAGAAATAATATAGAAGAAGTCCATACATGTAAAATTAAACCATCCCATCCCAAAAGAATACTCTCTTTGCTTACTGTAGGCTTCTGAAATTAGTGCTAAAATCACATTGCCCATATCTTCCAATTGCTGCATTCCAAAAGATTGTGCTGAGCTCCGCTTGTCAGGATTCAAATCTGAATACAATAGTCAAGAATCTTAAAGCAGTTGTTCAAATTTCAGGCCTTTGGCACCTCAAACTATCCTTGCCCCATCTTTAATTGCACAAAATGTTCCCCAAATTTATATGGGCTAGGCCGATTCCAGTTTAGGTGGATTTAGTGGGATGCTAAGAGCTGGCAAGGAAGTTGCTTGTTTCCTAATCTGTCTTCTTGGTCTCGTGCCTGCACATAAAACCCTGACAGCAAAGGCCAAAAGCATTCACCAAAACCCTTCTTGGTGACATCAAGATATAGCCTCCACTGGCTTTCCAGTAATTGGAGGAAGGTGGAAATTGCAGACTGACCCTTCCACTCTATAACATGATCACAATTTCTGGCATTTTTTTTGTTGGTTTCCAATAAACATGATGACCCACTTAATGACTGCCACAACTTACAACCTTATTTCTGCAGTCAATTACTTTTGTAAGTCAAGAACTACTTGGCTTACAATAGTATTATTGGCATTCATTTGTGGCAAAGCTTATACATAACGTAGCAAAATTTTGCTACTTTTACTGAAAAAAATTATCTTGTTTAAGGATAGTGCAAATAATGAAAAAAACCAGAATGCCCCATTTTCTATCTTATTACATCATTTTTTAAAAATTTGTCCCATGTCCCTGCACTCCCGTTCTTCATTCCAATGGATTATCTTGCCTTAACACCCCAATGGCAATAGAAGACAGTTCTAAAATATATCCTACAGCTTTTCAACTTTAGTGACATTAGTAATTATTTTGCTTAACCAAAGCATTAGTTCACATCATGGAACATCATGATAAAAGCAAAATATACAGCCTCTTAGTAACCTGTGAGGAGGCACATACCCTTTGCTGTAAGCTATTAGCTTCTTTTAAAAATCCAAATAAATTTCACAAGAACATTCCAAAGGAAGATAAACATCTGCCTTTGAACATTACTTATAAATATATATTTGACAATAGAAAAGCAGATTAAGGGAAGCATTCTTCTGTGCCTTTTGTCTTGATTTGGGATTGTGAACATGTTTCAGCAGTGGAGAATTTTCTCTTAGTAATACAGCTAATCCTCAGTTTATAGCCAGTAGTTTAGACCTGGCTCAGAAAATAGAATATAAAATAACAGAATTGAAAGGGACCTTGAAGATCTTCTAGTCCAAACCCTTGCTCAGGCAGGAAACTCTATACCTGTGATGGTGAACCTATGGCACGCGTGCCACAGGTGGCACGTGGAGCAATTTATCAGGGCATGTGCATGCACGCGCCAGCTGACTTTGGCCTTCTTTTGAAGCCATTTTTGCCAGTGCGAAAAACCAGCCCTATGGGCAAACTGGAACTTTGAGAACATACTTCCGGTTTGCTCGTAGGGGCGGTTTTAGCCCTCCGTAGCATTTAGGAGGCTTCAGGAGGCTTCCCTGAAGGCTCCGGAGGGCAAAAAACGACCCTACGAGCAAACTGGAAGTCCATTCCCAGAACTTCTGGTTTGCCCATAGGGCCAGTTTTTTGTGCTCTGGAGCCTGGGGAGGGCGAAAAAAGCATGCCAAAAATGGGGGGGGGAGTGCTGGACATGTGTGCATGCCCTCTGGGTTTGTGCGCATAGCATTATGGGTGTGGCATGCCCGTGCATGACCCCCTGCACTCCCCCCCCTTTTGGCACGGGAGCCAAAAAAGGTTCGCCATCACTGCCCTAATGTGATCTTGATTCTAAAGTTCTGATGGTTGTGCCCTCCCTGTCTTCACTGTAGTCATCATTCAGCATTTGGCTCACATTTACAACCTTTGGAGCCTGCTATGATTGCTGGAATTTTGCCAAAACTCAATGTTGATTTCTGGTTTCCGACAAAACCTGCCCATAGTGAACAATGGTTTTTTTTTAATGACCATGGGGAAAAAAGTCATAAGATCGGGTCTATCATATGATGACCCACTTTATCATCATCATGACTGTATTTGCCAGGCTCAATTACGATGATGACAAGTACAACCTGTACAATCTGCAGGACAGCATGTTTAGTTGGTTTGGAACAAACTTGCAGTAGCTTTCATATGGTTACACTGCTACTCTACGTATATTAAACCTAAATTCCCCGATTGCATCCTCAATGTTAAAATATTCTTTTCTGCACATGTGGATGTCATCTCAAAGTACAACTCAAGTAAGCTACAGAGTCTAGTTCTATGTAGGCTTATCAGTGGCTGTATAATGGTTTCTGCACATCTAACTATTTAGAGTCGTGTTTCTCAACCTTGGCAACTTTTTAAGATGTGTGGACTTAAAAACTCTCATGCTGGAGAATTCTGGGAGTTGAAGTCCACATATCTTAAAATTGTTAAGTTTGAAAAACACAGATTTAGAGGATAAGGGTAATGCATTCTCTGAGGGCACTTGACATATAAGTAGCCGTGCAAGCTTGATTCATTCCACCCTTGGGGCATTTGCTACTGTGAACCGGCTAAGCAAGCTTCACAAGTTGAGAATTGCAACTTATTAGTCAGAACAGAGAAGACTGACAAATCTTCCAGTGCTGGTATTTATGGGTAAATTGAAACACAGACCTTTTAAAATTCCTTGTTCTTTTCTCAGCAAATATCTCTCTAAAGTAAAACAAAACAAGACCTTCAGGTTAAGACACAGGCAGAAGAAATAAAAGTCCAAATCTTAACATGTATAACTGTAAAATATACTACATAAATAGCAAAGAAACAGGCAATGGATAACTGGCTCAACAACAATATTTTCAAGAATGACGCAAGAGTTATCAGACCAAGACTACGTGAATCAGAAATGGAACATTGCAACCCAAAAGGCCAATATTAGCCTACACAGGAACATTTCTAGCATACCCTTAGAAGCAGCCAAATGTAATTACATAACACTGGTTAGGTCCCTTTGGAAATCTGGTATTTATTTCCATTCACTGATATTGAAAAAAAAAGGGGGGAAAGGATAGCTGTAGGACAATCAAAAAAGTAGCCAGTGTTTTTCCCAACCAGAAAACAGTCATCAATTATAGCAGTGTGCAGTATTGGCTGAGGAATTCTGGGAGTTGAAGTCCACCCAAGCTTCAAGTCACCAAGGTTAAGAAACACTGAATTATGGGACTGCTCCAATCTTATTATTAACATGCTTCTGCCATACAGAAGTGTGATTGATTGGTATCAGAGGTAGGTTGCTCCCGGTTCGGCCCAGTTCAGCCAAACCGGTAATGTCGGCAGGGGGAGGCTCCGCCCAGATGATTCTGCGCATGTGCAGAAGCGTCATGCAATAGCACATGCACAGAAGCGTCGTGCGATAGCGCATGCGCAGAAGCATCGTGCGAGAGTGCATGCGCAGAAGCATCGTGCGAGAGTGCATGCGCAGAAGCATCGTGTGAGAGCGCATGCGTACACATGAGAAACCACTAGTAAAAAAAAATAGAGACCCACCACTGATTGGTAGGACTATAAACTTCTAAAAACAAGGCCTGCTATACCTGTCACCTTAACGATGAAAATCAGACTACACTCTAGGAAAAATAAAGCTGGGATATATTATGAAGGCTATAATTAAGGTTTATATCCCACTTTTGCTCTGGGGGGGAAAAAGTAAGATGTGTCTATTAGTACCTTTTGTGACTAACAAAAGCTTCTTGTGAGCTTCCATGTAATTTGGAAAAAGTGCTACCAGATACTTCCCGATAGTTTTGTCATAATGTGCAAACATGGCTTTCTTGCTGTCTTTTTTCTATGAGTGAAAGACAGGGGAACATATAATATTAACTTTACATTTATTCTCCCTAGAAATCCTATTTGGAAATTCACCCCCCCCCCCCCACTCCGGTGAGGTAGATTGCTGTAGGAAACAAGTCACTGGGCTCAAATCACTTGACAAACTTTTGTAATTGAAAGAGGACTGTTTTAGAACTGGAAAGTCAATATGGTGGCTATGATACTGGATTAAACACCAGGAAATTTCCCCCTCTCTATTGACCTCCAGTTTTGGCCAGTGACCCTGTCAGTCCAAATCACTCACAGTCACAGGGTTGTTGTTGTTGTTGTGGAAAAAACAAGAGCAGGGAGCTTTACATATGCCTGCTTTGAGTGATATAAATAAAAGTGGGATATAAATCAAATCAATCAATCAATCCTATAAAAATAAAAGCAGAATATATATAGGGTTACGTAACTAAACTATCTAGAAATCTGGAACTGGATAGCAACCATGTTAATAATTACCTACAATTATATATAAAGCATGGTTTACATTTAAACCAAGAAAGTTATTATCTGCATCGTCATTACTTCTGATATCTTGTTCCCCCCCCCTGAAATTTTTCCACTAGAATGGTTTCCCTAAATATTTGCCGTCATATGGAAATAAACCAATTCTTTCCAGTTCTCCAAGATCTTGCCATGGTCTCTGTTTGACTTCAATTAACGCCCTGCTCTTGCAAAATGAGTTCTTCATGCTCTAAGGCAGTGGTCCCCAACGTTGGCAACTTTAAGACCTGTGGACTTCAACTCCCAGAGTTCCTCAGCCAGCAAAGCTGGCTGAGGAACTCTGGGAGTTGAAGTCCACAAGTCTTAAAGTTGCCAACGTTGGGGACCACTGCTCTAAGGTAAGGGCTCCTAAACTTTTAGCCATCACACTTCTTTTTAGCGTAATTTTAATTACAATTTAAACCTAACCTAAAAATCCGAACATGTAACAAAGAGAAATGAACAATTAATACAATGAAATTTTATTTTAAGAACCAAAAAAAAAAAGGTTTTTCACGGACTCTGCCTATGCTTTCCCAAGAGAGTATACTTTACAGTTGGGGAAAACCTGCTGTTAGATATTATGGCAATTATCGAGCAATGTAATAACTTAAGGCTTAATAGAGTAGCCTCATTTTCAATTTGCAACTTTTAATAAAATGTTCAGTCAAAAGTTGACTGAACAAGTTACCAGATGGCCTCATATGTTTTTATTTCTTCATGTTTTCTCCAACGTATCATGCTAGAATTTATCAGGTAAAGTTCCTTTTGCATTAAATACTATCTATAAAACATTTGCAATGAAGTTTCTCTAACTTTGCTCAGACTGTAATCATAAATGCATAGATAAAAGCTTATATATCTAATTGTGATATTGCTTTCAATCCATTGAAAACACTGGTCTTGTTTTCTAATAAAATCTTGCAAAGAGAAGACTTTAATTTAGATCAGGGATGTAAAACTGGATTTCTCCAAGGGCCAAATCAGCATGTTAGTTCTCCTCCATGGGCCGGCCTTGGAGGAGATGGGATGGATGCCTCCTGCAGCATCCTGCCAGCCAACCCGGGGCATGGGGGCCCCCACACATCCTCCCCACCCCGTTTTCAGCCTGGACGGCCTCCTGCAACACTCTTGACACCCAACACGGGGCACGGGAGGGAGGCAAATTTCTCAAAATGATCAAAATTTGGATGTTTGGCAACTGATTCATGTTCATGATGGTTGCAGTGTCCCAGGGTCATGGGGGTCCCCTTTTGCGACCTTCTGACAAGCGAAGTCAATGGGAAAGCCAGATTCGCTTAACAACCGTGTTACTGACAACAACAGTGATTGACTTATCCACTGTGGCAAGAAAAAAGTCATAAAATAGGGCAAAATTCACTTCAACAAATGTCTCACTTAACAACAGAAAATTTGGGCTCAATTGTGGTCCCAAGTCGAGGACTACTTGTACTGGGTGATGGGAAATGCCTGAATCTAACAGCATTTATTAAAGAAGTTTAAATTGCTATTACTTTTGAGATGTCTACTAGAGTGAACATCTTTCTTCAAAAAGGAAGTTGAGTTTAAAAGTAAATCTCTTTAAATAAAATGGTGAACAAAAATGGAGAGAAATTGCTTTCAATCAGACTTTCCTTCCAAGTCAAATCTCCTGGCCCTCTGGACGAAAGGTGTATGGTCTCCGGTTGGGACTACCTTTCAAGTCCTACAAAGGCTTTATTTAATTGCATGTAAACATGTTTTAGCAACCGGTTAGAGTGCATATTTTCCAATCTCATTCCACCACTACATATTGTTCAACAGAAGCTGCAACGGTCTTTCTGTTCTTAGGGTTATTAACATATACAGAACCTCCCATCCTCTTGTTACATATCTCAAAGGTCTTTACATGTTAGGACGTGTCCCCTAGAAATGGGGAACAGTGTATTGTTATGGCTTTATCCAGACCGGCGCTTCAACTTCAATGCTACTTTTGTTCCATAAATCGTTGGCCCAAGGAAAAACTCATTCTGGCATGGAGGAATTTCCGCTTGTCTTGAATGCAGAAAGAGGCCAGTGGTTCAACCCACCAGGCATTTCAATTATTGTAACTCAGATGATAGGCAGGAACCCTGGACTTGCAAGCAACCCATCATAGCAGGGGTGGGCTACTACCGGTCCGGGAGAATCCATAGCTAACATTATGACCAGTTTGGAGAAGGGGCTGGCACGGCCCCTCCCAGGAGTCTCCACGTGGCCCATTTTGGATGTGAGGTAAGTGCAGAGTCCTTGCAGAGGCTCAGGGAGGGGGAAAATGGGCCTCCTGGAAGTTCTGCAGGGCCCCCGGAGCCCGGGGAGGCAATTTTGACCCTCCCAGAGGCTTGACAAAAGCCTCCGGAGCTTGGGGAAGGCAAAAACGTTCCCCCCACTGTGGTGCAAGAGGCCAACTAGGCCACATCCACCATGGCCCACCCAGCAACCAGGCAGAGAAGCCGTTGCTGAAATTTTTGAAGGTTATCCCTGCATCATAGGCAGCCTTTTCAGCTCTCTACTCTACCTTGGAAGGTAATGTAACAAAATCAGCTTCACTTACAATGACGGCAGTTCAGACTTGAACAATCTGTAACAATATTTTTCTTTTAAAAGATCCACAGAAAATATCACATAATCCTTGATATTTCAAAACAGAGCACAAAGACAAGCAACTGATTCGGCAAAAGATCTATGATACATTATACAAGCAAATGGTGGATCAAAGCCATTCAACAGACCAAGATGTAGAAATTATCCAAAAGCTGAACTAATGTTGCTATAGGCATTGCTCACAATTAAGAATATAGTTAGTAAATGGCACCATATTAATGCTGCTTTTTACTGGTATTATTTCTTGCACATTTGTTTTTAGAAAGTGAGTTCAGAATCATCGCTTTGTTGCATACAGTATTAACATCTGTCAACTAGCATGACTTTAAAATAAGCCTATTCAATGAAGATTTCATAATAAACATCATTAAATTAATAAAATATGCCAGCTTATCCTAGGGTTACATACATACCGTACATATATGCACACAGAAAGACACACACATACACAAACAAAGTGTATTCGGTTCTGCATCCTATTGTTTTTCCAATTTTCATTCTAGTTTTGTATGTTTTAACACCTATCATTGGATCTACTATTTTGATTTTCTGTAGCTACTTCTTCATTAAAAAAAAAAGCCTTTGGCAGGTCAATATTTAGGGTGAGATAAAGGCAATAAATAAACATTTAACATTATAGAAATATACAGATATATATTTATTAAAAGGATACATTGTATCATGGAACCAGCATCTAATTTGTCAATTTCAGGTGACCCAGGACAACATTTCTTGAATTCTTTTCGGAGATCAAAAAATGAGTAGAAGCATTCAGGTAACAAAATATTCTGCAAAACAAGTTACATCTAATAAACCAAAGTAATCACAATTTGTAGTGCAAACTGTCAATTGATAACATACCCAATTAACTTAACTGACCACCCACTTACAAAGAGTTATTACACATTTGCCATGCAGAGTCCTTCCAAGAAGCAATTCTGGCCCTATCTTGATGGCAAGTTTCTTCATCAGTAGGTGAAGAAAGGCAGAAGGGAACCAGCGACTCTTGACTTTAACCAAGATCAAGTGGAAACATAATTTTCAAGGAAAGTGGCCAATGTAATCATGACATCCCTGAATTAACAGAACCTGAAGCTAACTGTAGTTAAATGAAGATTTTGGACTTTGATTGCATTGTAGAGAATGATCACAAGAAAAGAGAAGGATTCCATGATAGGAGAATAGTGTAAGAAAAGGAATCCAAGATAGCAAACACATTTAAAACACAATACCAGCAGAAAAGAAACGGAAGAAGGCAGTGTAGCTCTGTAAGACGCTGCTGAAAATCTAATAAAAAGACACCATAGGTAGTCCTTGACTTTCGACCACAATTGAGCCCAACATTTATGTTCCTAAGTGAGAAATTTCTTGAGTTTTGTGCCATTTTACAACTTTTTTTGCTTCATTTGTTAAGTGAATCACTGCAGTTGTTAAACTAGTAACACAGTTGTTAAATGAATCTGGTTTGCTTATCAGAAGGTTGCAAACGGTGACCAAATGACCTTGGGACATGGCAACCGTCATAAATATGAGCATCTGAATATAAATCACGTGACCATGGGGATGCTGCAACAGTCGTTAAGTGTGAAACATAGTCATACGTCGTTTTGTTCAGGTCTTCTCTAACTTGGAACAGTCACTAAGTAAACTATTGTAAGTCATAAATATGAATCTGATCACATGACTATCAGGATGCTGCAACAGTCGTGTGAAAAACAGCCATGTTATTTTTTTCCCAGTGTTGTCATAACTTTGAACAGTCATTAAATGAATGATTGCAAGCTGAGGATTGCCTGTATATAGGAACTGGAAAAGAGACAGGTCATCAAGGAAAAGTAAAATTATATAATGTACCCAGTTTCCCTGAAAATAAGATCTCCCCGAATAATAATCCCAATCGGACTTTTGAGCACATGGGCTAAAATAAGCCCTCCCCAAAAATATTGCAACACAGCAGCAGCCATGAAGTGACCACACTCGCTGCCTCTTGTACCTCAAAAATAATAAGACTTCCCTGAAAATAAGGCCAAGTGCTTTTTTTTTTGGGGGGGGGGGTGTCAAAAGAAAATAAGAGCCTGTCTTAATTTTGGGGAAACATGGTATATTTTCCTGGATGTTGGTTAGGATCAAAACGAGCTGAATAAACAAGGAAAGCTAACAACTACAATTATTTCTTCTAATATGTTCAAAATGAAAGAGAAAAAACATCACTGGCCCAACTGCTTTGTAACAAATAAAATGGTCAAAAGGACCAAAGTTAACCACGAAAAGGCAGATCTAGTCAGCTCTTAACTTGGTCTGGTCCTTTCAAGAAGAGGATGTACAGGGGTCCCCAAACTTAGCAACTTTAAGACTTGTGCACTTCAACTCCCAGAATTCTCCTGCCAGCAGAGCTGGCTGGGGAATTCTGGGAGTTGAAGTCCACAAGTCTTAAAAGTTGCCAAGTTTGAAGACCTCTGATTTGTAGTAATCAACCATCAAGAGCATGGCAAAGTCATCATTAGCACCATGAAAAGGAAGAGGTCATTAATAGAGACACTAGATCAGACTTCCTCAGCCTTTTAAATATGCTGGACTTTATAATCAGAAATCCACTGCTGTCTAGGAAATATAGTGAGAAATCCAAAATAGTTAGAAATTCTCCAGCCAGCTCTGCTGGGAGTTGAAGTCCACAAGTCTTAAAGTTGCCAAGTTTGAAGACCTCTGTGCTAAGCATTTATGAACAAATGGCTGGAGGAATAAAATCCCAAGTTTGATAGAATTCTAGCCAGGGAATGCTTCCTGCCCTTGAACAAATCCAAATAAGAATTACATCTGGACACTGAAGGAAATTGTTGATAGTCTGGTTTAACTTCTCTCCATTATCTTTAAAAACAGTTGAAGTAGAAACTGGAACAGGTAACAAAAGGAGGGCAGGGTGGAAGATTAGAGAATTGAAACAAACTTATGATGAAGAAAGGAGAAAGTGGGTATGAAGAATAAAGGAATTGGGTATGTTAAGCTTTGACAAATCAGATATGATAGAACTCGATCAATACCTGAAAGGATGTCATACACAAAAAGTCAACATCTGTTCTCTAGCATTCTAGAAAAGAGTACTGAACAATAGTTACAGGAGAGCTATATCTGATTGAAAGTTTTGAGAGTCTTCTTAATAATAAAGAGCATTGCAAGAGTGGAATCAATTATAGTGAATCAGAAGATATATGTTGTTTATAGTAAAATATATAAATGAAGAAAATAAGAAATGAAAATTTGGTGTAACTTTGAATGGGCAATTGAAGATATTGTTTATGTATTAAGAACAATAAGTATAAAGATGAAAATAATAGAACAGAATAATTTGGCTGAAAGTGAAAACAAAACTATGATGTAAAATGGACTATGTAAATGAGAGGATGTAAAAAAAAAAAGACCTGGACAATGCTTTGTTCCTATAATATGTATAATTTGTATTAAAAAGATAAAAAACCTGGAATTGGAAAAAAAAAGTGGAATCAATTATTAAGAAGGGTTTTACGATCTCCTTAGTAATTCCAGCCCAGAGCAAAGTTGGACGTCACTGGCCAAAAAGACCTCTTTAAAACCAGCAAATCTATTAAACCTCTCCTATTCCTAGCTGGCAAATCACTGCATTTACTAGCTGGGATCAATCAGGATTCTTTCTAATCCAATGTATCTGGCAACCATCTGGTTGCAAAAACCAGATTTATCTTTTGTCAATACAAATTGTGCTCAACTTATGACCACACTGGAATCCAAAATTTCCATTGCTAAGCAAGACAGTTGTTAAGTGAGTGGTGTCCCATATTACAACCTCTCTTGTCGCCACTGTTAAGTGAATTGCTGCAGTTGTTAAAGTGAATCTGACTTTCCCATTGACCTTGTTTGTCAGAAGCCAGCTGGGAAGGTTTACAAATGGTGATCAGATAACCCTGGGACAGGGCAACTACCATAAATACATGCCAGTTGCCAAGTGCCCAAATTTTGTTCATGTGACCATGGGGATGCCGCAATGGTCATAAGTGTGAAACCAGTCATAAATCACTTTTTTAGTGCCACTGTAACTCTGAACAGTTACCAAACAAATGGTTGTAAGTATTACCTGCAGGCAAAATATATGATCAGGTGTCTATATTTCAAGAACACAGCTAAAAGAGAAACTAATCTGCCTTAAACACATTCAGATTCTAGTTTTCTTTAATTACCAATTTCATATCTACAGAAAAAAAGGATGGTGGCTGCGCTTACATATTTTGCCAAGTTATAAACTGATAGATTCACAAAGTGGTTTGGTTGGTTTCGGCTTAGTGTATTGTGTGTACCTAGGTATTCTGGTTTGTTTAGCACTGGGTTTTTTAAAAGTGTAATAAAGCAACCCAATTATGGAGTCTAATATATTTTACAAAAGCCCTTTGAAAAGTCTAAACTCAGAATTGGCAATTGAGGCAGCAGTTCTGACTTTTCAGGCTTTGCCTATAGTGTAAATGATTTTAAACTAAAAGTAAATAAAATACCCATACTTCCTTCTTAATATTTACTTTGAACAATATTTCTATAAAAAAGCCCATGAGCAAACATCCATTTCAAGCCTTCTCTTTGGTTTACATAAAATATTTAACCAGATTGATCATGCTGTCTTATTCACCATAACATTTCGTAAGATTTTACACCCATTTCACTGTGATTCAAAACAACATAAAGATGTATGATTTGATGTAGTTGCCCTAGGAAATTAGGAAATGCCATCACATGGAACAGCTTCCATTACTGATACAATGCAAGGATTGTTCAATTGAACTCATCTCAAAGGAATGACAACACAATCCCTCTCGCCCTGTCATTTTAAGACGGATTTGTCTCAAGATTAATTTATTGCATTTTATTTCAAAATGCCATGTTTGTGACATAACCACTGTAGAGTTTTTGTTTTGGTGGAACAAAAGTGCAACTCATCCCTCCGTAGTTTCCCAGCTTTGAAAACAGCTGTTCTCCTTTTGCAGCCACATTTTAAAAAGATGGGCGGGAAGTCTTCCATCTTCTAGTTGTAAAGAGGGATTTTTACTTGCTTTCTGAAGCTAGTTGATGCTCTGTCCAACTATAAACTCCAGACAAGCACTATTTCTTTGCAGGGCTGAGAGAAAGGAGTGGAGATGAAGTGCATGCTTTTGTGAATGATTGATCTCTGTTTTGTGATACATTGACAGACACCTGCTTCAAGCCCCTTGAGATGTCTGGAAGGAATTCTCTGCTGAAGGAGACTGATTTGTTACAGGCTGAATGTAAGCTGGGCTTCACAGGATAGATGAAATCATCTGGATAGCACTGAAAATATGTCATCAATTTAATTTTGCTCAGAGGCTGCATAGAAAATCATCATGCTCGGAGAGTGATACGTTTGTAGCAACTATGACTAAATGTAAACTAATTTTCCCCAAGAGTTTGCCAGCTAGATCAGTTTATTTGTCACCACTTTCTCTGTTAAAGAACAGCCAAGTAAATACTGTCAATGCCACTATAAAATGAGAGATCTTCAGCTTTGCTGGAAGATGTGTGTAGGATTTTAGAATATATAAACAATGCAGAAGAAGATAATAAAATATGTTCATTTTGTGGGAACAAGAGAAAATTAAAAATATGTAGTCTGTTGGACCTTTATATTAAAAAGAGGACCAAGTCTGGTTGGATGAAATAAGCACTATTTTGGGTTTTAATCCCTCAAGAATGTGTTTTATTCAGTGGCAGGGACAAAGAGCAGAATCTTAGCAAGGATTGAGACTTATCAATTACAGTTTGAACTCAATTGTTTTACGATAAATGATACCTGCACATTAAGAACAACTCTATTTATAATAAAGGGAAAAATGACAAATTAATGACATACAGTATGAGTGGCATGCTTTCCTATTTTCTAAAATTGTATCAATTCATGCCACATGCATAATTTTGTCACAGACATTAACACCGAGACAGTGGGAATGCTTGGGGAATAGATACTGTTCACTACCAGAATTTCAAGATCTACAGCAATGTGATTTTTGAAGATGCAGATGAGAGATTTAATCTCTTTGAACAGAAGAGTGATAAAAACAATGAAATACACTAAATGCAGCCAAATATAAAGTCACTCCATATCTAAAAGACGAATTGTAACAGTTCCTTATAGAGAATTGTTATATTACAAGCAATCATTACTGAGTTATAAACTTTTAAAAGATATATTATCCATGGTTACAGGTGTCATATTTATCCTAAATTTCAAGATAATTTGCAAGAAATCCAAAACAAAGCAGTACAGCCAAATAAGCCCCAAACAATATGTCTGAAAAAGAATTATCTATTTCACAATCTTAGCAATTTTAAGATGTAGGGTCTTCAAAACTCTGTGGCTGGCTGTGGAATTCTGGATTTTGAAGTCCCTACTACATCTTAAAATGGCTAAGGTTGAGAAGCACTGTTCTAAGATCAGTTAAAAACTTTTCCCAGGCATCTAAAAGACATGATGGTTTTGCTCAGCTATTTCCTTCTGCTCCTCAATACCTACTCATGGGCAAGATCTGCTATTGATGCAAAACACAAATCTATAAAGATTAAATCAATTCTTAGTTTTTTGTACCATGGAAGTGCAAAAACATTGCCTGTGAATAATAAAATATAGCACATTGTTTTTAATATTTGAAACACCAGGAAATCTGAAAAGTTCAGCTAGGGAGTCACTAATGTGATTCCAGTTGTAATGTCATAAGCCTTAATAAGCAAAATTGTGACAGTAAATATGAGTTTTTAAGGAAAAACCTGTGCGCTCCATCACAGCCTGATTTTGATGGGGGGGGGGAGGAGAGAGACTGAATGTAGCACACTTACCTTTTTTGATGCTTCAGGGTGCAAAACCTGCCTGATATGAAGTTGCCCATCGGCACAGAGACAGAAGGACGTACCAACGCCAATATTGAGTTCGTTGCTCACAGACTGGTTGAACTAAAAAAAAGGATACAATGCAGAAAGACCCATTTATGATATGAAAGTGCATTCTGCAAAATTAATATTTGTATATTTTCGCTAAGGATGCACATCTTAAATGTAAATTGGAGGCACTGTTTATGTCAACAATTCCCCCTGAAATGGGAAGTTCCTCATTTTCTTCCACTCTAGCTTTCTAATAGTTTCTCAACCTTGGCAACTTTCAGATGTGTGGACTTCAACTCCCAGAATTCCTCAGCCACCATAGTCTTATCTGTCTTAAAGTTGCCAAGGCTGAGAAACACTGCTCTAGTAACTTGAATTGTTATCATACTTTTTATGACATCTTGGCTGGAGTCCTCTCATTTCCCAGCATCTCACAGAAAGTCTGTTTTAATTGAAGCCCCTTTTTCCAGTGTCATAGAAATTGGTATCAGTTCAAACTCTTTGATAATATTTGTAGAAACTGGAACACACAATAGCTGTGTCAGCCTATTTGGCATAGCTAATGCTTGTGAATTATTTTGATTTGTCTTATCACAATCAATATTTTTCCAAAAAGCTGTTGCATCTAAAAAGATCACCTAAATCAGCCTTCTCCAGTCTTCCAGAAAACACAATAATTGAGAATTATAATGAAATACACGGTGCAACAAATTGCAGGGTGGCTTGTGTGGAGTTGTATCTATCCTAACTGGCTGGTGAAAAAAGAGGAACAGGGTTAAAACTACTTAATTTTTATTTATTTGTATTCCACTTTTTGGAATTTTTACAATAACTCAAGCTGGTGAACATATCCAACACACCTTCCTCTCATCCCCCCCACTCCCCACAACAACCCTGCGAGATGTGTTGGGCAGAGAGAGAATGACAGATCCCAAAATCACCCAAGCTGACTTTCATGGCTAAGATAGGAATTTAATTCACGGACTCCCACTTTCTAGTCTTAGGTACCTTAACCACTAGACCAAACTGAGATGGGACATCCCTAGAACTTTAGGCTAACTGGAAAGCAGAAAATATTCCCAGAAAGAAGATAATGGCAAATCACTCTTGTACTGTTGCAAAAAAAAACCCCTTGGTTGATATTCCCATGCAATCAGCAGTGCTTAACCTCAGGTTGAGTGAATCTGTACCTTTCAGTTTAAAAGCTAGAATAACTGTATTAGTTGTACTAATTATAGCAGGGGTCCCCAAACTTGGCAACTTTAAGATTTGTGGATTTCAACTCCCAAAATTCTCCCGCCAGCAGACCTGGCTGGGGAATTCTGGGAGTTGAAGTCTACAAGTCTTAAAAGTTGCCAAGTTTGAAGACCTCTGATTTGTAGTAATCAACTTCAACCATCAAGAGCATGGCAAAGTCATCATTAGCACCATGAAAAGGAAGAAGTCATTAATGGAGACACTAGATCAGACTTCCTCAGCCTTTTTAATGTGCTGGACTGTAGAGTCAGAAATCCACTGCTGTCTAGGAAATATAGTGAGAAATCCAAGATAGTTAGAAAGCAACAAGAGGCATCTGATCCAAATCATTACAGCGTAAGCTACTTGTTTGTTTACACTGCTATCCCAACCAGAAACTTTTCAAGAGTTCAGTTACATCTTCTGCCAGCTCTTAGTCACATGAGATGGAATACTATTTATGGGGGTATTTCCTTGCCGACGTATTGCATATCCTTGGGCAGTGTTCCTCAACTTTGGCCATTCTAAGAGGTGTAGATCTTAAATTCACCCAATTCAATTTCTACAATTCCCTAGCCAGCACTGTGAGTTGAAGTCCTCTTGTCTTAAATTTGCCATGGTTGAGAAACGCTGCCCTAGGGGGTCATCCAATCGTTGTTGTTCTGACGTAGCAGTAAGAGAATATGACTCAAGGTCAGCTGGGTGACATGGAGCATCCAAATCAATATGGTGGCTGCACATAGTCGTGACTGTCCTTTTGACTTTATTGAACATCTCTCCCCCCTTAGATTCTTCACTAGGTCAGAGTAGAAGCCTCTGGGGGTCATTAATGAGGAAGTGATTGTAAGTACCATAGAGCTGATAATAGCAGGCATCACTGACCTCAGTGACAGTCAGGTCACTAGCATCAGAAGTCTCTCTTTTTTTCTGCTGACTCAACCAGGCTAGCCATCCCAGTTCAGGCACCAGCAGCCAGGGTACCGGGAGCCCACGTGGGCAAGAAGCCATCTGCCTCTCCCGTGCTCTGGCTGTGAGTCACCTCTAATCTTCTTCCCTTCCCACAACACACCCAACCCCGGAGTGATCTGGTGCGCCTTGCACACCCCGATTTCCAGAAAGCTCGGTAGGGCAGGGAGGAGGAGGCAAGCAAGCCAAGGTTCGGCCCTGGAGGAAAAAAAGGGGCTAGTGGGTCACGCCTACCTGCCCCAGGGCTTGTTCCAGCTGTGGGGCGAGAGCCAGGATGTCCTCATCTAGGCCGGTCTCCTCTCGGCATTCGTCCGTCAGCGATAGGCGATCAGGCCCAATCAGGACGTGATGAAGATTGCCCACCTCCAGGGGAAAATAAAGGTGGGGGGATGGGGAGGAAAGGAAGAGATCAGTTTGCCCCTCAGGATCTGGCAGCCCGCCGGGAAGAGGATTCGGGATGGTGGCAAAGGTGGTTTTCTTAGCTGGGGCGGGGTGTGTGTGTGTGTGTGTGTGTGTGTGTGTGTGTGTGTGTATCTCTAAAGGCCTGTTCTCTTGGCCCAAGGAAAAAGTGGTTGTTTTCTCCATTAAGACAGACTCCCAATAAAACTTCAGCTTTTCCTTTGGAATTGCTTCCTTCCACTTGCTCGAGGGACCGCAGGGCCCCTGGTCATCCCATGGGTTTTTCCCCAGAGCCCCTTGGAGAATCAGGGGGCTCATTTATACCCCTCTCCCCAAAATAAACTGAAATCCAAAATCGGGGATAGAGCTCTTCCATCTCGAGTCCCTGGCTCCAACCCCGCCCCTCTTTTTTTTGGGGGGGGGGAAGAAAACACATTTAACCAACAACGTTCCCCGATTCCCCACACCACCCACCCACCCAAGCCTACTTTCCCCTTCGAAAGAAAACTCCCAACACCTCCAACCAGCGTTGCGCATCGCAGTGCAAAAAGACGGGTTTAAATTATCTGCCTTTCCCCCGCTGATTATAGTTCCTCTGTGGAATTATCCATCCCCGCGATTTACAACAGCTCGGGCAAAAATTCTACTAATCTTTCGAAATCGAGAGCAGGGGCTTTCTCCCCCGATAAACGCGGATGGGACTTGCCTCATAGTTTTAACTCTTTTAACTATTATCTTAAACCGATCCGGGAGCCAGTTAACTGAAAGAGGAAGAGAAAGTCCCCTCCCCCCCCTCCGTGCAGGTAAATTCCTAACTCACCAACTTCCACGCCGGGCAAAAATACCTTTTTGTTGGCCAGATCTACTACTCGCCACAGGAGCTGGATTAATTCTCTCTCATCTGAGCCCAGGCGAGCTCCGGTCGCCCCAGCGGTGACCCCAAAGAGTATGACCAGGTAATCGGGAGACGTCGTCATGCTGAGGGCGGAGGAGAAAGAAGCCCCCCGAAATTGGGGTGGAGGAAAGGCAAGGCAAACAACACCCCCGCGCACTTTTTACCAAACTTTGCAAAGAAAACACCTTCCCCGCAAAAGCCAGCCAGCCGCTATTTCGGAGCCCAAATTCTAGTGTAAGAAAAAAAAAGAAGGAAGGAAGGAAGGAAGGAAGGTAGGAAAGAAAGCGCCCCCTCCCTGGCCGCCACCTCCAGCCACCAAACCCCTGCTTTTCCGTCCTGGTCCTTCTTTTAGGAGAGAGACGCATGCCCCGTGTGGCTTTCGGAGCGGGGGGGGGGGAGAAACTTAATTACATGGGAGCCAATTCCGAAGCATAAGTTCGGCTACACCCCCTCGGAAGCGCGCAATGGCTGCGGGCTTGGCTGTTTAGGGAGGTGGCTCTACCTGCCCACTCCTCCCCTCCCCACGTGGTGCAGGTAAGACCGAGCGCGCTGGAGACACCTGAGGGAGCCCGCCCATTGGCTCTTGCCCATTGGGACGTGGCAATAAGAGGGGGCGGACTAAGGGCTCACTATAGGGGAGCAGAGCTCCAGCCAGGAAGACCGCAGCTGGTTGAGGGCTAGTGAGGCATGCAGAATATGGGGTCAAAGGCACTGTCAGTGTAAAGCAGCTGATTGCCTTCTTCTTGTATAGTGGAAATTGTCACTATAATTGTCCCCCCCCAGCAGGTGCTTTCCAGGTGTGTAAGCAGTCAGAATAGTTGAGAATGAGATGTTGGCGCAATGTTGCTAGAATTTAGAGGAGGAGTGGTTTACTTTTACTTGTGTCACAAGTTTGGCCAGAATTTTATATTGCAAATAAATATTGTACTGCAGTTTAAACCATGCCTTGCTTTGGTTGGCATCTTAGTGGTGAGCCCTGTTGCAAAACTGCAGAATCTTGTGGCATTTCAAAAGACATTTTATTATTCATATGTTATCAATACCACAAATTTCCAACTAACTAAGTTGATATGTTTGCATTATGCTGCAAATGGATACTGTGCATAGTGTCTTTGCTTAGTTGGAAATTATGATTTTCAAAGGATAATAAATGCAGAAAGTATAAACATTGAAAATTTCACTGGAAAGGCCATTCATACATGCAACATGGTAGATATAGATGAAGATATAGATGATGTAAATTAAGAAATGCATTATGATGAAAAGCCTTGGTTCCTAGTTGGGTATTATTTTCTTACTAAATGTATAGGTCAGTGATGGCAAACCTTTTAGACACCGAGTGTCCAAACTGCGCATCCATACCCAAACTGAAAGGTGCATATGCATGTGCGGGCCTGCGCACATGTGCAGCAGAGACCCGAAGACCAGCTGGCCACCGGGAAGCAGTGCATCCCAACACCAGCAGCGCAGCAAAAGGTACAATCTTTCTTTCCTGAGCTTCCATTTAGTTATTTTCAGGGAAACAGAAGGTCACGAAAGAAATGCCACGGAGATCTGACCTGGGATGACGGCGCACATACCAGCAGAGAGGGCTCTGCGTGCCACCTCTGGCACATGTGCCATAGGTTCATCATGGGTATAGGCTGCTTAACAAGAGACCTTACAACTTGAGAACTGGCTTGTCATTACCTGCTTCCTGGGGAGGGGGAGAGGGGAGAGAGAGAGAGAGAGAGAGAAAGAGAGAGAGAGAGAGAGNCAGCACACCAAAATACATGGAAAAGAGATGAAAATAATCAAACAGCTTTTTAGTCGCAGACCTGTGTAATGAAATAAGAACACCCCCCATAACCTACATTGTATTCAAGGTCAGGGTAACACAAGTGAACAAAAATATGCAAAACAGGGACTGCCATAGACTGATGCCTTCTACTCACATTTGCATAAAACAAACAGTCCTGAAAAATCAGGGTGAGGATTTTTGGCGCCACTGTAATTGCTGATGGATTAGAGGAAGTGAGGTAAGCAGAAGCTAAGAATAGTCAAAACAAGTTAAAAAAATAAGAACAGAGTTTCATAGTAATTCTTTTAGTTCAATTAATTTGTTTTTTTTTCCCTGTAAGAAATGTCTTCATCTATAAAATGCAATTATGTGTTTTATAGTTGTTGTTTCTTTGTAATTTTCCACCTTTCTTAATTTTGGATGAGGACATAATAATTTTAAATTTTCTTTCTTTTTTCCCCTTTTAACATTGTTAAGCTTGGGGATAAGATGTTATGCTGAATATTTAGGAACAGATATAATGCCTCTCCAGGCAAGCTGGCTTCTCTTCAATACAATTATTAGTTTTAATGGCCAATTCTCCCCCACCAAAAGGATGAAATGCTTTTAAAAACTAATGTGTAAAAAAGTAAAAAAAAAAGAGACATATTTTTGGAGTACCTTCCCCTCCCTAAAAGAGGATGAAAATTTGGGTGTGTCTTATACATTGAATGCAGCCCCACCCACTCACCGCCCCCCACCCTTTGGCCTATGTCTCCCAGCAATTTACCTCATTGCAGCAAACAGGGAAAATGGGACTTGCCACGCAGCAATAGGTTATGGCAAATCCTGCAGCCTGAAACAGCTAATAATCGGGATGCCCATGCTGGAATTGAAAGTGAAACTTGCTGTTTGCTGCAATGAGGCAAATTGCTGGGAGGCAGAGGCAGATTTTTTTTTCTTGTGCTAATCAGGCTGCTGGCTGCAAGGAGGTAAGTCAAAAACTATAAATGCCTATATAGAATGTTCAAATTATTAGACTCATTTTTTAAAAGACTGCTTTATTATTGTTCTAGACAATTTAACAAAATGAAGAAGCTTTTTAAAATAAATGCTTGATCTGAAGAGGCCCAGTGCTACTGTATCTTCTTTTAAATAGCAGAGAATAATGTATACTTCCAGAAAGTAACATGGCTGTTGAAGAATTACTGGCAGGCAGGCAGGCAGTTATTCCACATTCCCTGAAATCCTTCATGTATATTTTTTTCATCTTTGGTGGTTTTAATCATCAGCAAATGGAACATAATAAAAAAGGACCAACTTCTTTTTTTTTTCATTGGCTGTCCTGTCAATAGATTTGAGATAAGATAAGAGATTTAAATTCGTTTGTCTTCCTTAAACACAGCAAGCCACAAGTCTGTAAACAAGCAGGCCCCTATCAGCAGCTCCTGTTTTGAAGAAATACATCTTATTAACTTCTGATTGAGCAAAAGTAACCACAAGCAATTTACCAACAAGTCTTTGCTCAGGTCAACAGAGGCATCAAAAGCCATTTCCCCCATGGCCCACCCGCGGCCAACTACAGAAAGACCCTCAAATCTCTATAAATTGAGCTCCACATCTCTTTGACTTGAAAATCCTCTCTGCTATTTAAAATGTTTAATCTGTTTTGCCCACCTGCCACTGCATGAATAAGGATTCCTTCCTTCCTTCCCTGTTTCCATTCCCACAGCCGTGTTGATAAAAGAATATCATTATTACTGGAGCTAACACCCAGAATAACAGAGTATTTAAAGGAAATTGCCATGGGTTGATAAACAACAGAAGACAGAAGGGGCAGAGAGATTGGATTTGGTACTTAATTTAAATTTCAAATCAGCTTTGCAAAGGAAGCTCACTGAGAGGCAGTATCTCATTAGCCCAACTGTCAGGTGGGTTGGAGTTTATCTCGATAAAGCACAGATTGATTTAGCAACATATATGAAGTGCAAGGCTGCTTCTTCCTCAGCTGTTGAGATTCAATTCATTTTTCAGTTCTGAAGCAAGCTGTCTTCTGAAGCCACAACATCACTCTGTGGAAAACTGGTAGGATTTATTACTCAAGGGATGCCTGTGCCATGAATGGGATAACTCATATGTTGCTTGATTGAAGGGGTGCCATTTTTAAAATGTGGGGCATTTAGCCTGCAAGTTCCTGGCCTTCACTTTATCTAACTGAGGCCGAGAAAATGAAACAAAAAGGTAATCCCCCATTTCATTAATCCATGAACACCACCTGGCAGTCAGAAGATATGATGAAAAGTCTTGAATTTCACAACATCTAGACAGATTTAACCATGGTTTCAATTGGGAAAAGGTGACAATCCTAGACCAGGCCAAGTCCAAAAATGCCAGGGAATTTCTAGAAGCCTGGCACTCTGACAAATCAGCCATCTAGAGACAAATAGACATTAACAACATCTATACAATATCCAAAAGACACACTCAACCAGCCCAAAACAGAAAAAAAAAACCTCTAGCACCTGTCCACCAGCAATCAGCAATCTGATCAGCATACATTACAGTAGCACCAAGGTTAACTTCTGACCAACAATCAAGTAAACAATCAAGAAACTGCCAAAGAGTGATGAATAAACAGCCCAACCGAAGAATCTCTAAGATCCACAGAGATAGGCAAAATACCAGAATATAAACTGACAGCAAACAGCACTCCTTACTGGCACTGAGGATCTTACCTAGTTTGGGTAAGGAAATCTCTGCAAGAAAACAAGCAAGCTCTGAGAGCACCAGGGACACCCCCCCCCCCCAATTATATGAATGTTTATCTGGATCAGTAACATCAAGAACAGTTTGGGTTAAAGCAGGTTGAGATTTCTGATCGAGGACACTATGCAGATGGCTTTGGTTGCCCAGTTGCTCTGACCATTTTGAACTTACTGGTGCCCCTGGTTTTAATACTTTATTTTGATTGCTGGATGGGCTCATGTTTATACATTCTATCCTCCGTTAAATCTTGCCTGATTGCAGATTCTTGACCAGTTACTTCATCTCTATTTTATTTTCCTTATTAGGAAAGTTATTGATGAATGCTTTCTTCATGGCTTCCTAAAAATTTTAAATAAAAGTTTCTATCTACAGTGACTCACAATCTCCAAAATGGCATCCTATTATTCAACACAATAAGATAATGTATTAAAGGAGTCCCTGCAGATTTTACTCTACTAGTTGTTGCTGATTATAGGATTGGTGCTATCTTCATTTCAAGGGCCAATGAGCTAGTCTTGTGAAAAGACATTTCCATGGTCATATGGCCAGCATGATTCAGAGAGCACTGTTGCATTCCCACTAAAGTGGTACCTATTTATCTACTTGCATTTGCCTGCTAGGTTAGCAGGAACTATGTCTAGGATGGGAACTTACCCTGTGGCATGATGGTCTCGAATCTGGGCTGTTGGCTTTCCAGCTGATGAATCCAATGTCTTAATTGCTGAGCCATCACTGCCATCCAAGATAATGCATTGACTACTTAAAAATCTCCTTTCTGGTATAGTTATAAAACCTACTTCAGTACACATCCTCAGGTAAGA